GTTTACCGTACTGTATGAACTTGTATAGGGAGAAACTACGAGTAGATTAACATAAAACGCGCTTTCGAAAAAAAAATAGTTCATTTGAAACCGAGTACAGTCTTTCTACATAAATACCATTGAAATTAAGTGAATACTTTGATGAAGCTAGGAAAAATTTACACTTATTTTTCCAGCAATTTTGTTTTAATATTCTTCACTGTACTGCTATTCAAGTTTGTGCTTTGTTGTCATGTTTATGCAGATAATGATTAATGAAAAAGTATTATTTTAAGTCTTCATTTTCAGCAAGTCTTTGTCTTGTCATAATTCATCTCGAACGTTCACAATAAATACTAAACTTCAACATTCTTCAAGGAACTCGGGTTAAAATACAACTTACAACTGAGTGTCCTATCCAGAAACCTGCAGCTTTAATACTGTAATTGACAGAACTGCGGACAGATATTTCTGTATCTCGTTACCAAAATGTACACATTTGCCACCAATGTAGTACCCTATGTTACTCTCTCTTCAAATTATACATTTGCAAAATGCAAATGTAGTCCCACAACTGTAATTGAAATATTTATCGCTTGCTGAACAAAGAGGCAAATGTGAAAAATCAAGCATATCTAAATACGCCTGTCTATGACTACGCATATTAACAAATCCATCGTTTTGTAGGAAAACAGTCATAATTCCCTGTGCTCGCTCCCTGACGCTACTGAACTGAAACATTTTTCTCATTATCAGCAACCCATTGACGTATAAGTGAACTCCAAACTAATAACCTCTATAGTTTACTTATTGAACTGAACTAACAGGTGCAGAAGTTTCCGCGACAGTTTTAATGTCACAGCTATAGTTCCTGTGTATATAGTGCTATTCTCACCAAACGCACGTAAGTAGAAACACGGACATTATCATTACGCTAACTGATGAAAATGCAAATCAAAACTAATAGCCATGGCTACGCAGTTTCAGATTCTGCCTTGACTCAATCTAGGCTTAAACACGAATATTGCGAGCAGTTTCTTGAGGGATATTCAAGACTCCTTATACTTATTTACAGCTAATGACGAACATTCTTCAAAGCAGTGTCTGGGGAGCTAGATGTGCGGCAGCCCTTGTAAGCAATTTAAGTCTGCTTTGGGGAGCTCCGTGCATTTTAGCGCGTCAGACGCAATCAACTACACACACTGCAAAACATACAAAATCTGTCCTAACGAGTTTCGTGAATGGGGGACTGATCTTAATGAATACTTTCTGCGGTTTTAATCTCAGGTGCGAAATCATGGCACTCAACCTCTGGATACAATTAAGAATTTAGCTGCCATAAAGTTGAACTTGAGCTACATTTTCTAACTGCTGGCCGCAAAATTAGACAGTGGAATTATTTACATGCTTTTTTCATTATTTCCTAATATTTCAGTGTACCACTTTTACTGTAAAATGGTTTCAAATTTATGCACCACAAGATTCAGCTCCCTTTACAATTACCCTGCGCCAAAGCCGTTTCCATTTTACTCCATCTTCTTCTCCAGACTGACCATCTCTGCGCTGAGTTCCCACAATCGACGTGCCGAATCATCGTCTTGAGCTAGCTTACTGGTATTGGCAGGGGCACAGTCACTATAAACAATTGAAAGGTTTGCTGATCAATAGTAATGAGTCTTTAAAGTAAGATGATTATCGCAAGTGTACTTTCTTCAACTTCTGAGCTTCCACCTATATGAATCAGGTTTGAGCCTTGAGTCAATTATATCTAGAACTGCAGCTAATATAAGTAGCTACAATAGGATAAAGGATGATAAAGGTTAAGTTTGCTTTCTTTAACTCCTTAGAGATCATCATTGATTCTCCGTTGAGGATGATCGATTCTGTCTTTTTCTTTTAAAACTAAAACAATTAAGAATCCTTTCATTGCAATAAAAGACTTATTTTCAAATAAATGAAACTTTTTGGGGCAGACGTCATCCCACATCAGAGATACAACCATATGTTTAAATAACAAGATTAGGTTGACACTGGTAAAGAGTTTCTCTTCATCATGTAGAAGGAAAAGAGAGTTCAGATGAAATTACCTTTCTTGGAGAATATGAATTGTTCTCGTCAAGAAGGAGGCCCCTACCTGAAATACAGGCCAATTGTGTCGCTCAGCTCTTCCGCCACTGCGCAATAGATGGTCGTCTGAGCTCCTTGCTCGGGGGTTTTCAACATGAACCTTCCGAATGGTGTTGCCATGAACCTGCTAATAATCCTCCAGGGTAAATTCAAAGCATCTAGCATGTAGCGGCTGAGCTCGGTCTCCACATTGCCAGGGTGCAAAGCATAAGCAGAAACCTCAGTCCCTGTTAGCGGATTTCCATATACTAACGCATTTGTTCTCTTACAAGTTTCAATGGGGTATATATTTAATAAAGAAGTTCGTCATTTGTTGATGAAAGGCTGGCACCTGCCCAATCAGTGATAAAAAGGAGGTATTTTTTATAAATATAGTTGCGTGTTTTTTTTTTTCGTTTTTTTAACACTGGGTGAAAAAACCTTCCTTTTGCATGAACAGCGAACTACTAGTATGAATATCAGCGGCTGATGTCGCAGCAGGAGAGAAACCTTTCGCTAGTTTGTTTAACCACCCTTACCTTTCAGACGTTTGCTAAGTTCCCTTGTGAAAAGCACGTTAGCAAGCTTGCTCTGCCCGTAGGCGGCGACAGGATCGTAATTGCTCCTCATGTGGATGTCGTCCCAACACATCTTGCCAAACCACTGATGGCCGATGGAGGAGACGTTAATGATGCGGGCCGGAGCGGAGGATTTGATGAGATCCAACAGAAGATTGGTGAGGAGGAAGTGACCCAGATGGTTGACACCGAGCTGCATCTCAAACCCGTCCTCGGTCTTCCACTCAGGACACATCATGATTCCTGTAGCAAAACCCAAGCAATGATACGTATGGCCAAATATGAATTTGAATTTTGTTCACATGGCAAGAGTATTTTATTGCTTCTCAAAATCATAGCTGGGGTGTAAGAGAGCTCCCCATCTCCTGACCCTTATTTGGATTACTAATACAAGCAAAGATCTTGAGCAATTATACAGTAGCCTTGTGATCTCCTGTCTGGCCTAATGCCCAAATCGTATTCTTTTGCAGAGCATAACCATATCGGACCTCGTCCGATGGAATTTTTTTTTATTGTAGGGTAAGCCTCACCCTGCTCACAGCTTCCTATAACAAAACGCAAAAAAGAATGGAAAATGGTTCCATGTCAGTTTCGACCTTTCTTTATGAAACCATTTGAAGCGAGTGAAAACTACTCTAAAAGAGTACAAATCACTACTACGGAGACTGTTTGTTGAATTGCCATTATAACTAAAAGACTGAAACTTTCACTTTTTTTCGATTGGTTTTACTCTTTTTGACTAGATTTTTTATAAAGGACTTACCGGTCCTGAGAGTGAATGTTTAACTTGTGCAGTTCGAGAGCATGGAATCAAAGCGTGTTGATTTGGAAAACTTGTTTGTAAAAGGGACATGGATTTGTCGTCGGACTTAATGTAATGTTTGAATGTCAAACTGCACAGATCTTACTCCGCTTTTAAGGTTGACACAAGTCTGTCAAGACGGTACAGCGCTTCCAATTAAAACCGATTCAACAACATCTTTCAGCAATATCGAAGACATAGTTTTACGTGGTAAAAGACAAATATACAACACGACAACATATCACATGTCGACAGATATTTACCCCAACCGGGGAGAAAAGTTAATACACTTTTAATCAATCGTTGATATCCGTCGGCTTCTTAATTACCAGTTTACAAAAAGTGCCTCTATTTTTCTTAACAGATACCGTGGCGTAAGACTAAATTCACTTATGGCAGAATTTCAGGGGGAAGCTGATATTTACCTGCGTTGTTGATGAGGATATCCAGTCTCGATTCATCTGCTTTGATCTTCTTTGCGCACTCTCTCACAGAGGCCAGGGAAGCCAAGTCCAGCTTGACCACCAGCAGGTTGTTACTGCCAGTGGTTTTACTAATTTCCACTGCTGCAGCTTCAGCCTTAGCGGTATCTCGACATGCTAGGATCACGCGAGCACCTACAAAATTAGCAAACCCCCCCAAAAAAACAAACAAACAAACACCCCAACACCCCAAATACCCCCCCAACCAACCAACAAACAAACAACAAAAACACATGCACAGATGGTTATTACAGTACTTTTCAGCATCGATTGACTTAAAATTCAATGAGAAGCTGTATATACTTCGTCATGGAAAGCGTACTTTTGAAGTATCTCATTTTGTTCGAGTAGACAGTTGAACGCATGCTGCCCACGATCATCGACATATATTTCAAAAAAGTCTAAAACCACGATGACCACGATATCGAAAGAGATGTGTCGATTTCGAAAGTGTTCCAAAGATGTTTGCTCCCTCAAAATAGGTATGTTTTGAAAATTCGAATATTTGATCAATTATCGATTAAACCTTTTCCGATGGGAATATTCCTAGGTGCAATACAATGAAAGAATAATTTAAAACTGATGGTTTTTATTACTAATTCGTAGTTACGATTTCAACTTTACGATCCTACTCTGGATAATTGTTCAACAGAGCAACAGGTATTTGAAGCATTGAAGCATTGCCGTGTAATTTGATTTTAATAAAAACTGTTTGATTATTCAATCTGATTCAGTTCTCCTCAAATGAAGTGATAAGTAATGAACATAGAAGTGAAAACTCACTCCTGTGTTCTGGAAAAAGTGATGCGGGAAGCTCCTATAATGATTTACATGTAATATATAATATTTAATCTGACAGAGCCCTGGGATGAGGTGCACGTGTAATATATTTGATTATTTGATCCAATTCAGCCGGTTCCTACCTCTTCTAGCCAGATCACGAGCCGTCTCCTTGCCTATACCAGTGTTTGCGCCTGTGACCAGGACCGTCTTTCCAATCAGACGAGCTTTGCTGTGGCAACGCCCGCCCTCAATATATTTCCGCAAGAGCCTCAATCCCCCTGCAAAAACTGTAACAGAAAAGTACCAGAGTACACACATTTACAGCTTTGTTCCTATGATTCTAAGGTATAAAAAAACGCCGTTTTTGTTTTATTCATTTTTGCCTGTTTTGCCTATTGGTTTCTTTCGGTGTTTAAAATCACAGTTTGGCCCGGTAACACATGCCCTACGAGCTACTGCAGTAGAGTAAAATATAGACTCTATCAAAACCCAGGCATTCTCCGTATGAGTCTCGACAAGCTTATCAAACAACCAGCAATGAGTAAAAAGGTTAATATAGTGCACCGTCCCACGTGTCATTCTGGATGATTTGCATGTGAAGGGAGCATGAACTCTTGCCTTGGCCATAACGCTTGTTTGGGGAATACGGCAACACAATAGACGGGGTGCACTTTGCTCGGGTCAACTGTTTCGTATTTTAAGTTCATTCACTTCAAATTCAGTCATAGTCTTGTATCTATCACCCATCAAAGAGGCTAATGGTGCACTACCTTCTTTATGGACTCCATACGGAGTGTAATTATCCCGTTGTATGACAAGTGTACACTGTAAATTATTCTCCATTCGTTGCCTTCCCCCATTTCAGCCAAAGTAACGAATTTAATGATAACCACTGAGCCTACACTGCGACATTCAACGACCCCAGGAACAGAAATCTATGAGCATTTATATTATCACGAACAGCTAAAAATAACATACAGTGATGCACTTTCCTATTAGTCGCTGCGAATAATAGCTTATCGTTGCTCATTATATATACACTTGTACATACATTTGTTTGAATGAATATTGATAAATGCATAAACAAATAATATACGTAAAATGTGCAGGTGGTGCAAGATGACTTCGAGGCGTTGTGAAGATTCAGGGCTGAGCTTGAAGGGAGGGAAATAGACTATGTGGGATGAGGAAGGAGAGAATAAATCCAAAGGAAAGCCGAGCAGAGGGGAATGATTCTGAAAAGGACAAGTAATTTCAAAATGTCTATAGTGTATTCGTCTGTAAACATTTTATAGAGAAGTAAACAGGGAAATGCACTTGAGCTTTAACAACTCCAGTGCCTAACGGCTGCGATGGAATTAATACTCACATGCTACTTATAGCTACACATTGAACATACCAACTAAGACAACCACGACAAAAAATAGATCCATCGTCCGTGAAAGTGTCGGAATAAACCACCGGCCAAAGTGGAAATGTGTCTCGATCGTCAAGGGCAAACACTCTTGCCAGGCAAGGGTGCCTGAATGACAAAGCAGAATTGCTGTGTTGTTTAGATAACCGGTAAACCTTGACTCTTTGTGTTCGGATAACCTCTGACATTATGCGGGTCGAACGCTGCCATGATGTCCCGGGTACATTTTCGGTTAAACACGCGCACACCACCACCATGGCCAATACGTCTCTGGTTCACGTGTACTTTCATCACGACAAAAGTTGTGTGAAGCCTGCAGCTGCAGTATTCAGATGTATGGTGTGCAAAATTGACATTTCCTCCGAAATTTCTGTTTTTGTTTTTGGGGGTTTTTTTTTGGTTGTTTTTGTTTTCTTAAATAGAGATACCTGTAAGAAAAAATAAGATGTCCCAATTATTATAAAGTACAGAAATAAAATTATCACGGGAAAAATCTTTATACTTTGGATGTCTAGAAAAAGATAAATCTCTTTTGTGAGATTAAATGTCAACTCATACAAACATGCGTTAGATAATAAAGTGATAAACACACCTTTACACAAACGAAATATCGTTGATCAATTAACCTTAATTTTAATAATAGCTGCAAGGTCGATCCTGAGCTCAGGGGCCGTCAAGGTGTAGTTTCTGCGGTTGGCACAAGGTGGTGATCAGTCCAGTTTAACCCTTTCACTTATAAATTTAAGGTTGTACGCATGTGCATAACGCGCGTGTGGGCGGAAGTGATGAACGTGCGCCTCATGGCCCTCTTGTGCACGTACTGTTGTGATCGGGTTGGTACATTCCAGCGTAAAAATGTACGATGCCACAGATAGGAAACGACTGAAAAAAGGCTGATTTCGTTAGTTTAGCCACCGCAACCATGGACATGACCCCAGTTTTATTCGCAAGAAGAAAGATAGTACAATCGCAAATGCTTCTGGAAGCAATCGCCACCACTGCATATCTACATTTACCCGCTGCTGTTTAACAAAGGAAATCAGTTTTGAAAGGCTAGCTGACTCAAAATTGGAAGACTGTCGAACCAACTCGCGTTCTCAAAGATCTACTCATTTCTAAAGCCTATATAAGGGCTGAGACCCGGTTTCAAGCCCCTTGATACTGCAATGAAACACATTGATGACGACCGTGTCCAAGAACATGCCTTTGCTGAACATGTCCGTCGCCTTACAGTTTTTAATATTGTTGCGTTCCCTAAATATCAAGTCGATGGTAGCATGGACTTTATTAGTGTCTACGGGATGTGATATTTGGGGTCAACAATTTATTAAAAGGTGGACGTGAAACAAGGGGTTTGGGTGACAGTCAAAGTGTATGGTTAGTTTATTGCTCTCACTTCTCTTCATCAAAGTTCAATGTGGGTTTGAAGAAGGTGTAGCTTAACATAATACAGCACACGAAAGGCAAAGTTATAGAGAGGCGAAGTTGTAGACTAGCAAGGGCTGGACGGTGCCAGCGCCGGTATGTAACGACCACACTGCTGTTCAGACCGCAACGTGTTGAGCGCAATGATATGATCGCCGCACTGTGCACCATTGGCTCAGCGTAGAGACGGGGAGGACTGGGCTAGTTAGCAGGACAAGAGTAGCGAGGGACACGGGGGTGTCTCGCCTGGCAATCGGTTCGGACGTAGCGGTGACGGGCCGCTACGACTCTCACTAGCACCCTGGGCTAATTCGTACCGCTCTCGGTCCAAGCTAAGCTAGCTGGTCATTCATATGGTTACATTTCTTCGCCTTAAAAATGGTTACTATCGCACTTCTCTCGGAAAGGGTCCAACCGCCGCACCACGTTAGGTTACGCTCTGGCAACAAGGGTTTGGTCAGCCGCACCTGACCGACGAGCTAAGGAAAATCTGCTCTATTTATAGGATTCTAGAGGCTTCGGAATTAATAAAATATGAGCGTCGGTGAACAGCTCAACCAATGAAAATCTTCCATCTCAAAGGGTCACATGACTTCCAGCTAGAGTCGCGTGCAAGAATCTAAGTGTCGTGTGTAAAAAGATAAAAATACAGGATAAAAAGTCACGTGTACAAAGTGTGGAGCCGTTTGCTTAAAAGTGCTTGCCCGGTCATCTGTGACGAATGATTGACAGTTACAAAGTCAGAGGTTTCTGAACATTAGCATTTCAGGGAATCTTACCACGCCCAACCACGCAGCCACGTGGAGAGGAATTTCGACATGCCAAAACTGAGCAGAGAAAACACAAGGATAAAGGAGTGAAGGAACACGCGATCACGCCAGAGTATAGCATGAATAACTTAATACAAAATTAGCCTCTCTGCTACATGTCCATAATGCATAGCTGAGCGAAATAATAAGAGACCCTGAGAAATGCAAGGACCCAGAACGAGTGAAACTAGGGGGCGCCAGAATTCAAAGATTTGCGGGTGTGCAACAATATCATTCAATATTTGTGAAGCCACGGATGTGAAGTAATTATCCCTAGATGTCGTTGCAGCACATGACTTGACAAACTATCAATTTTCGAATAGCCCATACTCCTGAGTGCATAGTGACACTGGTACTAGGCCATAATTGGGCACATAAATTCAAAATGACATTTGCTATTATAGGATACCGAATTGTAGCATCACCCTGGGTTTGCATCGTGGTACATGTATATTAAAATAAGAGTTCTGCATATTTAATTATTTCGATCAATTTCTCCTCAAATGATTGACAGGACAACTGCTTGTATCCCATCTCACTCTGCCATGCAGGCATTTCAAGAACAGTTGAGTTACGGATGTTGAGTAAAGTTAGTGTACCAAGAGCCCTTAGAAATGATGCAAATGTCCCATGAGGTCAGGCCCTGGAGTTATCTTGGACATTTTTGGAGTTGCCTTCACGTCAGTGAATGTGTTTTCATCTCCCTTTTAACATGATTATTATCATGTGTTTTAAACAGTTTCATAATTATTGGCAAATGCACTGTGGTATTGCTATTATTTTCCTAACATGGCTCATGTCAGTGTTTGTTCACATGCATGAACACGTTTGTTGAGTTTTACAGCTGTTGAAATGCACAAATACAGAATTGTGTCTATCCCCTTTGAGCAACTGCACTTCTGAGAGGGAACACATTTTTATTTGACTTGGAGATTGTAACAGAGTCTAAGTATCTTGGGACCTTCATGTACGAAAATTTAAAATGGAACAGAAAGATTAAGCATATTTGATGTACAGCTAATCAAAAATTGTACTTTTTACGTCAAACTCAAATCTTTTCAGGTTGACCGGGATATCCTGTACCTGTTCCATGAAAGTGTGAACCAGTCAGTTATTCATTTTCCATTATCATTGTTAGATTTAGTTAACTGTCTGACAAATGGTAATTTGAAAAAACTAAAGAGGATGACCAGAACTGCCAGTAAAGTTATTGGTATTGATGTGAGAGAGTTATGTGACATCTATGAAAAGGCCCTGTTAGCCAAATTTGACATGATTTGTGCAGATCAATCGAATCCTTTATTTTTTGAGATTCTGTGAAGCAGGTCTGGGAGAATTGTGGTACCTCTTACACGTACCAACTGTTTTAAATTTTTAATTTTAACATATGCAATCCGTGCTTTTTAACACAAATTTTACTAATTTTTGGAGGTCTTTACTGGTTGGATACTTTGTAGTTGTTACTGAGCTGAGTCTCACTTATGTCTAAATGCATGTTTTTATTTTTCTTAAAGTTGTACATGTAATTGTTGTAATTTACATTTTTAATTTATGTTTTCCTTTTTAGGAATATATACGTATACTTTTTACTATATGTAATGATTATAAAATGACTGGCTGGGTAGCGGAATTTCACGTCTTATATGAGATGAATAAAATTAATGAATGAATAATGAATGCAACAACATTGCAAGGAATTACACGCAATTACATTGTACATGAAAAAAATCGTAGATGGAAAGACATCAATGTGTTATTACAATGCAATTGTTTCTTAAAATTAACAACATTAGACAGAGTAGCACAGATAAGCTGGAGGTTGCAGTCAAGGATGAGCGCTTCTTCTTTCCCTCCAGTCCTTGAAGGTATGCGGATCGTTTGAGGTTTCTAAGACTTCTGAGTCAAACGAGTGGAACAGGCAAAGTGGAGCATAATTAGTCGGGGTAGCAAATGTTACAGTACCTAAAAACTAGAAATATGCCGATTACTTGAGATTCTTCATTTCTTCCTTTGTTCTCATTAGTCTATGAAGAAATCGAAAATCATTGGATACGCCTAGTTTAGCATTTAGCTTTTATGTGAGAAAACGTACGATGTGAGCATCATAGTGGTGCCCTACAAGTAACTGTTTATAGATTTTCTGCTCCAAGGTGTCAAAGAGCACAGAGAAAACAAATATCTTTGAACCCCGACATGAAAGTCAGTGCAACCCCACTCTAGATGAAAGCACAGCTGCTGTTTACAACATCCTCCAAGTGTTCCCCAATTATGGTCTCAGCAATCCCTGGGGACTGCATGCCTCTGCACCAGATTTTGTCAGTGAAGTTGAAGTGGCATATCCAGATGCTAGCAGCTTAGTTATAGTTCCAGGTACAACCATCTTAGTAAAAGATGATCATTTTGGTTCCAGAAGTGTTGCCAATCTTCATTCTAGTTGCATAGAGTCAGGATGACTAAAAGCCAGGGATGTGTTTAGCTATGATCTTTGGTGAGGAGTGGTCTGCTGCACACCTGTAAATCTTGATGCATGTTTTGTATATATGAGTGCAAAGAAACACTAGGGGGCGGCCGCAGCCCTTCTTTGAAATTGTAGATCTATATAATTAATAAATGGTCAATGGTCTCCAGGAGAATATGGGTTGAAAACATCGTCATTATTTTTTGATTTTCGTCCAGGGAAAATAATCCCGCCAAGATTACTAACATCAATTTCACCTGAGACGATCTAAGAGGTAAAAGAAATGACCAGGAAACAATACAAGCATTGGGAAGTACTGCAAGTTGCAGTCTGACGTCTTCAAACTTGAAAACTCAATTATATTTGACAAGAATTCGTAATTTTATATAATGCTGTATTTTACATTTAGGTCCCAC